AAGAGGGCCCTCAGGAAGCCCCCGACGGATGCTACAACAAGCGGGTGCGCTGTGACATCCGTTGGGGGGACTCTTCAAACTCTCTGGGAGCGCTTGTGAGGCCGTCTTGGTATGCACCTGGGGCTCTAATGGGCCACCTCTTGGCCATCTTGCGACGTCTCTTGCGCCGTCTCAGGCTGTCTTGGGGTTCTCTTGCGTCGTCTTGGGCCGCCTTGGGGCTCCGCCTTGGAATTCTCTTGGGGGGCCTCTTGGGAGAGTTTTAGGCAATCTTGGAGCTGTTGGGCCATCGTGGACGCTGCAAGGGCCCCAGCGCCGCATATGCCAAACATGTTGGAAAACCCAGGAGGTCCTGCTGGGAGTGCTCTTGGAGCGCTCTGGGGGCCTTTCGGAAGGCTTTTCGGCAGCTTGGATGCCGTCTTGAGCTATCCTGGGGCTCTCCGAAGCCGTCTGGACGCCATCCTGGCCATCCGGAGACCATCCTCGACAGTATTGGAGGCATCTTCGTCGAACTTGGAAGCTTCTGGGACTATTTTGGGCCGTCTGGGAGGCGCAGGCCCTCCCGGCGTGTCCTCCTGGCGGCTTTGCAGCGATTAGCACCTTCCACACGCTGCTCCAAGTATTGTAGACTGGATAACACTGGGATCCAATTTCACCTCCCACATCTGGCTCAGCAGCGCCAGCGCCCGCTGCCACTGCCCGCCCTTCTCGCACGCGCTGATCCCAGCGTTGTAGCTGACTAGAGCTGACCCGTGGACTTACGGCCACGACAGCTTGCCCGCGTGCAGAAGCTGAGATCGCTTGCCTGCTTGCCTGCTGTTTTTTGCACGCATAGCTGGTAGCCAGACACTTGTCTTCCCGACGTCACTGCCAGCATGCTGGCAGGCCTGGCGGTCCCACCTGACCCTCTCCCGCACACCACGGCAGCGGGGATGGCCGCCAGCCAGCCGCGGGCTATGCAGCGGCTGCTTGTTTTCTGCTGCTAGCTACTATTTGCTGCCGCTGATGGCTTATGTGCTGCCGGATATGGAGGCCGTGCTGGGGGGCCTATGGCCGAAACTATTGGGGGCCTCGTTGGGCCCTCTTGGGGCCGTCCTGGGCCGTCTCGGGGATCTCTGGGGGTCTGTTGTTCCGTCGTGGCGCTCTTTGGAGGGCGTGTCGGGCCGTCTGGAAGCTCTCCGAAGCCTTCTTTAATATTCTGGGAGCCCCCTGGGGCCGCCCTTGGGCTCTCTTGAGGCAGGCAAAGACCGCCCAGAGGGCCCAGCCCGAAGACGGACCGAGATGGCCCAAGGAGGCCCCGAGAACAACCCAGGAGGCTCGATAGGGGCCCCCAGAGGGCCCAAGGTGTCCTGCAAGGAGGCCAAGAATCTCCTCTGAAGCCGTCTTGGAGCTGTCTCGCGTCGAAAAGCCTGCGACGCAAAAGACATACATCTTCCTTTGGGTGTTGGAAAGCTTTGCAGTTGCCGTGGTCTTCTGGACAATTCCTGCAAGGCCTCTTGGGGCGTCTAAGGGCCTTTTGGAGGTTCTCTTGGAACCGCTTGAGATCTCTCGGGGGCCCTGCCTAGCGGCTATCGGGGCCACTTCTGGTCATCTCGGACATGATCGAAGGCTGTCTCTGCGACGTCTTAGGGACCCAGAGCCCACAGGGACCCGGAGGCAGTGCCAACGCCGCTGGAGGCCGAGAAAGCGAGTGGCCCACGCACTTGTCCCAGAATTGAGGGGATGATGATAGCTTCGGGCTCCAGTTTCAGAGTTTTTGACGTTGCGGCTCGCTCTTGGGAGCCTCGGGTTGAAGAGTTTACTGTGTCATCGCTCGCTCTTGGGAGCCTTGGATTGAAAAGCTTTTTACTTTACCGAGCGCTGTTTTATTAGGCGTCTGTGCGCCTTCTCAGTGGTCCTTGTGGGGGACTTTTTGGAGCCCTTCAGGGGCCCTTTCGGGCCGTTCTGTGGCCGTTTGGGGACGTCTTGGCGCCCATTTGGGCCGTCACTGGTCGTCTGGGAGGCCTTGGACCGTCTTGGGGCTCTCTGGAGGGCGTCCTGGAGCCCTCTTGCCTCGTCGGGCCCTCTTGGAGCCCTCCTGGAGCCCTCTCAAGCCGTTTGAAGGCCCCCTTGGGCCGTCTTTGGGTCCTCTTGGACCGTCTTGGGGCCCTCTTGGGGGCCGTTTGGGTCATCTTGGGGGGGTTTGGGTGGCTTCTTGGCCTGTCCTGGACCGTGTAACAACGCAATAGGCGGATATGCTGAAAATGTACGTGTTCCAATAGGAATGTGATCATGTTTGCCTCTTTGGCGTCCTCTCGGGCCCTCTCGGAGCGTCTTTGGGGCCTCTTGGACCGTCTTGGAGTCACCCTCTGAGGTCTTTGGGGCGTCTAGGAGGCCTTGGACCGGCTTGGGGATCTCTGGAGGGATTTCTGGGGCCATCTTGGGAGCCTCTTCGGGCCCTCTTGGAGCTCTCTTGTAGCCGTCTTGTGGCCCTCTCAATCCATTTGAGGGACCCCTTGGGCCGTCTTTGGGCCCTCTTGCGCCGTCTTGGGGCCCTCTTGGGTCGTCTTCGGGGGTTTTGGCATCCCTCTTGGTCTGTCCTGAACCGTGAGACAATGCAAAAGGCGGCTATGCTGAAAATGTACGTTTCCCCGTGGGAATGTTACGATGTTTCCCTCTTCGGCGTCCTCTCGGGGCCCTCTCGGAACGTCTTTGGAACCTCTTGCACGGTCTTGCAGCCACCTCAGGAAGTCTTTGGAGCGCCAAAGCGCGTCTCGGCACCAACTGAGGCCGTCTTGGAGCGCTGTTCGACCGTCTTAGAACCCCTCTGAGGTGCCTCTTGCGCCGTCGCGGGCGATTCGAGCCCGTGGTGGGGCCGTGGAGGGCTGATTTTATGCACTTGGGTGCCCACCCTTCTGTCACGCGCTTCCGCCCGCCATGTAGGAGAGAAACTAGGGCTGACCCGTGGACTACGTCCACTTGCGGGGATAAGAGGTGCTGCCGCAAGGCGAGCATGATGAATGGCGTCATGTTCGCCTGCCACATATCGTGGAGCTGCGGGGGCGCCAGGTAGCGCTGCTCGCCCGTCTGGGAGCCCCCAACGAGCCCCCAACGACACCGACGGCGGCGGCGGCGGCGGCGACGACGACGACCCCAGCGACGACGACGACGACGGCGACGACGACGACGACGACGGCGACGACGACGACGACGACGGCGGCGGCGGCGGCGGCGGCGACCGCGGGCTGCAAGGCTAGGCTGGCCCGATTCAGGGCCACCGGCCCACCGGCCCAGAGTCGGCGGTGCCGATTCTGGGCGCCCCCCGGCCCGCCGTCCCAGAGCCCCTCGCTCCCAAGGCCACGCGCGCCTCCGGAGCCACCCAGCCGAGTTTGGGCCCCCGACCCGCCGGCCGACTCTGTGCCGCCACGCCGCCGGCAAAGAATCCCGCCCGGCGCGCCCCGGGGCCGCCGCGCGGGCTACGGGGGTCGGCCAGGACGACTCTGGGCCGCAGGCCCGCCAGCCCAGAATCGACGGGACCAATTCTGGGCCGCCGCGCCACCAGCCAAGAATCCCGCCCAGCGCGCCCTGGGCCAATTCTCGCGCCTCTGGGGCGGGCCACCAACCCGCCCGCCAGCCCAGAATCGGCGGGACCCAGAATCAGCAGGATTCTGGGCCACCGCGCCGCTGGCCCAAAATGCCGCCCGGCGCGCCCTGGGCGTCCGAGCGCGCTTCCAGGGTCGGCCGGGGCGATTCTGAGCCAGCCTTCCAGCCCAGAATCGGCGGGCCGATTCTGGGCCACCGCGCCGCCAGCCCTGAAATCCGCCCGGCGCGTCCCGGGACGGCGCGGGCGCCCTGGGCCACCAGCCCGCCGGCCCAGAATCGGCGAGGTTCTGTGACTGGCCCATGGTGCGCTTGGGGAGCCGTTTTTGGGCCGTCTTCTGGCCGTCTCAGGCCGTCTCTGGTGCTGTCTTCGGTGCTTCTTGGGCCGTGATCATGGTGCCTCTAGGACTCGTTTAGGAGCCTCTCAGCGCTTCCATGCGGCCTCCTGGAAGCCTCCTGGGGCCCTCTTGGGCTGTCTCGGGTGCCTCTGGGACCGTGTGGAGGCCGCGTGGAGGCCGTCCGGGGCCGTCTGGGGGTTGTCTGGGGCCGTCCGTCTTATTTGGCGTCTCTGGAGCAATCTGGGCACTGTCTGGGGGTCGTCTTGGACCGTCCTGGGCCGCTCTTGAGACTGTCTTGGGTACCCCGTCGGCCGCCAGGGGCGCCTCAGGAGCCGTGCTGGGGCCGGTTTGAAGCGTTTTGGGGCTGCTTGGGGCCCTTGGGCTGTCTTGAGCCGCCATGGGCGCCTCAAGAGTCATGGTGGGGCCGTTTGAAAGCGTTCTGGCGGCTCTGGGGTGGGCCGTCTTGGTTGCCTCGCGGGTGGTTGTCTTGGCCGTCTGGGTCCGTCTTGAGCACCTATTGGGCCGTCCTGGGCGCCTCTTAGGCCGTCCTGGGGTCGTCTTGGGCTGTCTTGGGGCCCCCATGGGGGCATCTTGGGGCGATATGTGGCCTCTATGGCCGTCGTGGGCGCGTTGGCAACGAAAAGCAAGAAATACCACAAATATGCGTTTCCCAAAGGGAATGAAATAATTTTGGCCTCTTGGGGCTCTCCTGGGAGGTCCTCCAGGGCCGTCTTGGGAGCCTCCTGGCCTGCCTTGGGAGCTTCTGGGGCCGTCGAGGCGGCCTCGTGAGCGGCTCGGAGCCGTCTTTGGGCCGTCGGGGCGGCCTCTTGACCGTCTCGGAGCCGTCTTGGAGTCGTCTGGGGGCTCTCCGGGGCTCGCAGGGGCCGTCAGGGCGCGGACTGCGCTTTCCCCGTGGCCCGCCTTTCCCGCACACGGGGGCCCTTGCAGTGTAGTAGAGATGACGTCAGGCTCCAGCGTCGCCTCCCACATCGCGCTCAGCAGCGCAAGCGCACGCTGCCACTGCTCGCCTCCCTCGCACGCGCTGATCTCAGCGTTGTAGCTGATGACGTCGGGCTCCAGCTTCGCCTCCCGCATCTCGCTCAGCAGCGCCAGCGCTGGCTGCCACTGCTCGCCTTTCTCGCACGCGCTCATCCCAGCGCTGTAGCTGATGACGTCGGGCTCCAGCTTCACCTCCCGCATCTCGCTCAGCAGCGCAAGCGCTGGCTGCCACTGCTCGCCTTTCTCGCACGCGCTGATCCCAGCGTTGTAGCTGACTAGGGCAGACCTGTGGACTCCGTCCACGACATCAGCTCGACGTGGCGAGGGGTCTCTGGGCAAGCGCGAGGGGGTGCGGCTGCAGGGCCGAAAGGCAATCATGATAGCGTCGGGCTCCAGCTTCGGAGGTCCTGCTGCTTCCTCCCCCTCCTCCTCCTCCTCCTCCGCCTCCTCCTCCTCCTCCTCTTCCACCTTCTTCTCCTCTTTCGCTGGATTCTCCATGCCCTCGGTCGGCAATCGTCGATCCCACGACGACTCTCCCCAACAGAGAAACATCGAAGGCCCTCGGAGCGTCCAACATTGTTCTTTTGTGCCTTCGATATGCCGGTCGCCTCTCGTCCGCTCCCCCCCTCCTGGAAGCAATTCTGAAGCCACTTAGGGCTTCGTGGGGGCCGTTTGGGGATCTCTTGGGGCGTTTTTGCCTGCGATATGCCTGTCGCCTCTCGTCCGCTCCCCCGCTCCTGGAGGGAATTCTGAAGCCACTTAGGGCTTCGTGGGGGCCGTTTCGGAGCCTCTTCGGCCTTCTTTTGGGCCTCCCGGGGGGGCTCTTAGGGCCCTCTCGGGCCGTCTTCGGTGCCTCTTGGGCCGTCTTGGGGCCGTCTGAGGCCCGCCTCGGCGCCTCTGGGGCTGTCTTGGGCCGTCTTGGGCCGCTCCTGGGGCCGTCTTGGGCGCCTGTTGGGCCGTCTTGGGCGCCTCCTGGGCCGTCCTGGGGCCGTCTCGGGCCGCTCTTGGGACCGGCATGGGGCCCGCTTGGCCCGTCTTGGGCTCTATTGGGGGCCTCTTCGGCCGTCTTGGAGCGGTCTTGGGGACCTCTTGGGCCGTCTTGGAGCGTCGGGAGGCCGAAAAGGCGAGAAGGCCGAAACCATCGGAAAACACAATGGAAGTCGACGTTTTTTGCTGATCGGGCCCCTCTTGGGAGGCCTCTTGGGAGGCCTCTGGGGGCGTCTTGGAGGCCTGTGGAGCCTTCTTGGGCCAATCTCGGGCGTCTTGGGCCCATCTTGGGGCGTGCCAGGGCCCTCCGAGGCCGTCTTGGGGGATTTTTGGGGCCCTCTTGGCGTGTCTTGGGGGATTTTGGGGGCCCTCTTGGCGTGTCTTGGGGCCTCCCTGGGCGGCCCGGGGCCAGCCCGGGGCGGTTTCGGTGCATTGGGGCCTGCGCCCTTCTGGCACGCACTGGGCCCTGCAATGTAGTAGAGACTAGGGCTGACCCGTGGACTCCGTCCACGACATCTTTCTGGAATGGTTCTCGGAGGAACGGCGCAGATTGTACCGAAAATCTACAAACACGGCGGCGGCTCGGGCGGCGGCAGCGAGACCGCGCCTTCGTGTCCGAGCTCTTGCAGCGCTGCAGCAGCTTGGCCCAGCGCACTGCTCGTTCACCCCCCTCCTATTGAGGACAGTTTCGAAGTCTCTCGGGGATGTGCGTCGAAGTCGAAGCCCATCTGAGGCGTCTCAGGAGCGCTCGGGGAAGGGCTCGGGAGGCCATCGGGGAAAGCCACCGAAAGCGCCGGGGAGGCTCGCAAGGATCTACAGGGAGGGCCCAAGAGAGCTTCAAGAAAATTTGAAATCCAGTGAACTCTTAAGAGAAACCGCTGTTGGGTCGGCCATCACCTCCGGGCGCGCCTTGATGGTGCGATCCAGTCGCATCACCGCCAACGGGAGGGTTTGTTCGCCATGTCCCATTCTGTTCGCCCAGAGGGTCTGTGGAGGCCTTCGGGCGAACAGAACGGGACAGGGCAAGGAATGGGGAAGACATGTCCGAATCTCCTGGGCCCCCCAGATGCTCGTCCGAAGAATGCGGAGAGGTCCCAGGGTCATATCAATTGGCTGCTGTCCCAGGGGTCCGGTCTGCTTGGCCCGAAGAGTTTGCCAAGGCCCCTGGGGGAACATAATGGCACAGCATATCGGGCAAAGGGGGGCGGTAGCTGGCCTGTCAGACCCGGCGTTCGTCTTCTGCCCAAGCGGCGCGGGGCCCACGGGCCCCAGGGTTGGCGTCCCGCTGGGACTCCTCTTGTTCGCCCATAGGGTTGGAGGAGGCCTCCAGGTGAACAGAATGGGGCAGGACAATGAATGTGGGAGACTTGTCGCAAGCTCCCAGCCCCCCCAAGTGTGCGCCCGAAGGGTGTGGGGCCGCGTTGGCTCCCTCAAAGGGCCGTCTTGGAGCCGTCTAGGCCCGTCTTGAGGGCGCCGTTTGCCCTGATGGGGCCGTCTTGGTTCGTCGTGGGCCCCTCATGGGCGCGTCCGTAGGCCGTCCTGGGCCCATCGGGGTCCTCGTGGGGCTGTCTTGGAGCCGTCTGGGACCGTGAGGAGGCCGCCTTGGAGTCGTCTTGGGCCCCTCCTGTGCGCCTCCTTGGGCCGTCCTGGGCCCAGCAGGGGCCGTGTTGGCACCCTCTTGGGGCTGTCTTGGAGCCGTCTTGAGCCGTCGCAGCGCGCCTTGGGTTGTGCTGGGTCCGTCTTGGCCCGTCTTGGGGCCTTCCTGGGCGGTTCCTCGGACCCTCCTGGGACTTTCTGGGGCCTCTTGGTGCATCGGACCGCCGAAACGGCGGGAAACGCAAAGGGTGTAACAGTAAACAATGGAAAATTAACGATTTTTGCCAGCTGGGACTCTCTTGCCATCTTGGCCCGTCTTGAGGCCCCGAACGGGCGCGTCCTTGGGCCGTCCTGGGCGCACCCTCCTGGGACCGTCTTGGAATCGTTTTGGGCCGTCTTGAGCGCGCCTTGGGCCGTCCTGGGCCGGTCTGGGGCCGTGTTGGCACCCTCGCGGCGAGGAAGCTCGGAGGCGGGCTCGAGGCCTCTTCGGGGCCATTTTGGAAGCTGTTGGGGCCTCTGTAGGGGCCTCGTTTGGGCTCCTTGGGAGCCTCCTGGGGCCTCTTCGGGGGATTCTTGGCGGCCCCTTGGGGCCTCTTGGGGGCCTGTTTGGGCCTCCTGGCGCCCTCTTGGGGCGGAAGGCTCGGATTTTCGGTCCGTGGTCCCCCTCTTGGCCCCCTCTTGGGCCTGTCTTCGGGCCCTCGTCGGCCGTCTTGAGCGTCTCATCTTGGGTCGTCTTGGGGCCCTCTTGGGCTGTCTTGGGGCGCTCTTGGAAACCTCTTGGGCCGTTCTGGGGCGCTCTTGGAGGCCTCTTGGGCCGTCTTCGAGCGTCGGAAAGCGGAAAAGGCGAGAAGGCCAAAATCCTTCCAAAACCGTCGTAAAGCGGACGATTTTGAGGCCCAAAACCGTCCAAAACCTCCTGAGGCGGTCCCCTCGTCCGCCCCCCTCGCTTCGAAGCAGTTTTTAAGCCCCGTGGCACCTCTTGGGGATCTCTTTTGGGCTCCTGGGGGCCTCTTGGGCCTCCACTGGATTCGCTGCCCTTGGTCGGCAATCGTCGATCCTACGACGACTCTCCCCAACGGAGAAACATTGAAAGCCCTCGGAGCGTCCAACATTGTTCCTTTGTGCCTTCGATATGCCGGTCGCCTCTCGTCCGCTCCCCCCCTCCTGGAAGCAATTCTGAGGCCACTTAGGGCTTCGTGGGGGCCGTTTGGGGATCTCTTGGGGCGTTTTTGCCTGCGATATGCCTGTCGCCTCTCGTCCGCTCCCCCGCTCCTGGAGGGAATTCTGAAGGCACTGAAGGCTTCGTGGGGGCCGTTTCGGAGCCTCTTCGGCCTTCGTTTGGGCCTCCCGGGGGGGCTCTTAGGGCCCTCTCGGGCCGTCTTGGGTGCCTCTTGGGCCGTCTTGGGGCCGTCTGAGACCCGACTCGGCGCCTCTTGGGCTGTCGTGGGCCGTCTTGGGCCGCTCCTGGGGTCGTCTTGGGTGCCTCTTGGGCCGTCTTGGGCGCCTCCTGGGCCGTCCTGGGGCCGTCCTGGGGCGTCTTGGGACCGTCTGGGGGCCCTCCTGGCCCGTCTTGGGGCTCTCTTGGGGTCCTCTTCGGCCGTCTTGGAGCGGTCGGGGGGGCTTCTTGGGCCGTCTTGGAGCGTCGGGAAGCCGACGAGGCGAGGAGGCCGAAAACATAGAAAAACACCGTAGAAATCGACGATTTCTGTCGCTCGGGGCCCTCTTGGGAGGCCTCTTCGGGCGTCTTGGACGCCTCTTGGGCCGCCTGGGGCGAATCTCGGGCGTCTTAGGCCCATCTTTAAGCGTGCCGGGGCTCTCCGGGGCCGTCTTGGGGGCTTCTCGGGGCCCTCTCGACATGTCCTGGGGCCTGCCTGGGCGGCCCGGGGCGGCCCGGGGCCAGCCCGGGGCGGTTTTGAGACATTTGAGCCTGCGCCCTTCTGGCACGCACGTGCTCCTGCAATGTAGTAGAGCGTGCGCTCGTTGCTGCTTACTTATTGCTTTAGGGTGGGCTGTTTGCTTGATAATCCTGACGTCGTCTGGAGCAGCGCTAGCAGCAGCAGCAGCAGCAGCAGCAGCAGCAGCAGCAGCAGCAGATCCAGCACAATCGGCATTAGCAGCAGCAACAGCTGCAGCAGCAGCTCCAGAGTTCCAGCAACAACAGAAGCAACGCGGACTTCCGGGGGCCTCCCGGAGGCCTTCTCGTCCTCGTCCTCCTCGTCCTCGTCCTCGTTGTCGTCGTCGTCGTCGTGGTCGTCGTCGTGGTCGTCGTTTTCGTCGTCGTCGTCGTCGGCGTCGTCGCCGCTGTCGGCGTCGTCGTCGGCATCGTCGTCGTGGTCGTCGTCGTCGTCATCGACGTCGTCGTCGCCGTCGACGAGGACGACGCCGAGGACGACGACCACTACGAATAGATTTGTGGGGAAGAACGCACCGCACACCTCTTGGGACACGCGGCGCGTGGAAGGGGGCGTACAAAAAGGTGGCCCCTCGTGTATATGTGTGTGGGGCTCGCCAGCGCAATCGTGCACCCTTTCCGCGGCACCAGTGTCCCAAGGTGTGCGGCACGGTTTTTCTCGCTCAGGCGGGGGGTCCCATGAGATGGAGTTGTTTCCGCTCTCGCCAGGCGCGCTCTTTGATGGGCTGTAGGGATGTCACGAAGCGGCCTGAGGAGCAGGTGGGCCCACGGAACGGGTCGGGCAGGGCCTCCGTGGAGGTGCTGGCCTACGTCTGCACGCCCTCGGTCGAAAAGGACATGACCGGGTAGATTGTGCGGAAAATTATGATGGTGTTCCGGAAATCGGGCCACGTCAGGAGGACCGGCTTTCGTGTCAAACTGTCGAGCCCGTCGTGCCAGCAGTGCCGCGTGCTGGAGCAGGCTGTTCCCAGCGGAAGCATCGGGGAAGCGGCGGGGGGGCCCTCCGATACCCGGGAGGGGGTTCTCGTGGGGCTTTGTGGGAGCCTCTGGAGAGCCTCTGGGAGCCTCTGGAGAGCTCTTGGGAGCGCCTCTGGAGCCTCCTGGGAGCCTCTGGAGAGCGCCTGGGGGCCTCTTGGGAGCGCCTCAAGGGCCTTCTGGGGGCCTCTCGGGGGCGTCTTGGAGCTTTGCTGGCCGTGGATGGGGCCCAGAGGGGGGGAAGCGCTCCGAACTGAACCCTCTTAAGCGTCTCTTCGGGCCGTCTGGGGGGGGTCTTGGGCCGTCTTGGGCCCTCCGGGCCCGTCCTGGGGCCCTCTCGGGCTCGCTGGGGAGCTCATGGGCCGTCCCGGGGCTGTCCCGGGCCGAGACGGCGTCACCCCACGGGCGGGGTCCCCGGGGCGCCGCCGCGGGTGACCTTCGCTTGCCTTTCTCGCACGCGCAATGCCCAGGATTGTGGTATAGATGACGTCGGGCTCGCGCTTCGCCTCCCACATCTCGCTCAGCAGCGCAAGCGCCCGCCGCCACTGCTCGCCCTTCTCGCACGCGCTGATCCCAGCGTTGTAGCTGATAGAGAAGCGACCAGGGCTGGCCCGTGGACACAATTCCCTCGGCGGCCACGAAAGCCGGATTGAACTCCCCCATTGTGTCTCACAGACTGGGAATGGCGCGTCCGATTCGAGCCAAAATTCCAGGGGGAGTTTCTCCAGGGCGGCCCAAACTTGAGGAAAACACAATCACTGGAGAACCCTGTCGAGGACGCCGGCTCGAATCGGACACCTCCGAGCCGTCGTCGTCCTCGCCGTCGTCGCTGTCGGAGCCGTCGTCGTCGTTCCGACGGTGTCCGATTCGAGCCAAAATCCCGTTTGGAGTTTGTGCTGAACGTCGTTCGCAGAGCTCCTCCAGGGCTGCCGAAATGTGGAGAAAACGCATTCACTGGAGAACCTTGTCTGGGATGATGGCCCGACTCGGAAACGTCGTCGGCATCGTCATGGTCGTCGTCGCCGTTGTCGTCGACATTGTCGTCGTCGCGAGGGTGTCCGATTCGAACGAAAGTCCCGGGCAGGAGTTTTGGCTGGACGTCGTTCGGACACCTCTGTGCAGTGAGCCTTGTGCAAGACGTAGGCTCAAGTCATCACTGTATTTGTCGTCGTCACTGTATTTGTCGTCGTCGTTGTCGTCGTCGTTGTCGTTGTCCCGAGGGAGTCCGATTCGAGCCAAAATCCCGCAGAGAGTGTTGAGTGGACGTCGTTCGCAGAGCTTCTCGAGGGCGGCCGAAACTGTGAGAGCTCGCATTCACTTCAGAACCTCGTCTGGGATCTAGGCTCGAATCGAACACCTCGTCGTCGTCGTCGTCATTGTATTTGTCGTCGTTGTTGTCGTCGTCGTTGTCGTTGTCGTCGTTGTTGTTGTCGCGAGGGAGTCCGATTCGAGCCAGAATCCCGCAGAGAGTTTTTATTGGACGTCGTTCGCAGAGCTTCTCGAGGGCGGCCGAAACTGTGAGAGCTCGCATTCACTGGAGAACCGCGTCTTGGATCTAGGCTCGAATCGAACACCTCGTCTTCGTCGTCATTGTATGTGTCGTCGTCGTTGTCGTCGTTGTTGTTGTCGCGAGGGAGTCCGATTCGAGCCAAAATCCCGCAGAGAGTTTTGGGTGGACGTCGTTCGCAGCTTCTCGAGGGCGGGCGAAACTGTGAGAGCTCGCATACACTTCAGAAACTCGTCTGGGATCTTGGCTCGTCGTCGTTGTTGTCGTCGACGCTCCCGAAAAGACAAGCTTCCGAGGCCCTCGGAGAGTCGAAAACGAATGTTCAAAGCCTGCGATGAGCCTTCCGCCTCTCTTCCGCCCCCCCTCTCGTGGAGGTAATTTTGAAGCCGCTGAGGGCCGCTTGGGGACTGTTTCATGCTTTTTCGGGATTCCTCTCGGCCTCGTGGGGGCCTCTTGGGGCCCTCTTGGGCCGTCTCGGGTGCTCTTGGGGCCGTCCAGGGCCGTCTTGGGTGCCTCTTGGGCCGTCTTGGGGCTGTCTTGGGGCTGTCTTGGGGCGTCCTGGGCGGGAGTGCCTCTTGGGCCGTCTTGGGGCTGTCTTGGGCCGTCCTGGGCGGCTTCTGGGGCTGTCTTGGATGCCTCTTGGACTGTCTTGGGCGCCGTCCTGGGGCCGTCTTGAGCCGTCCGAGGTCCCTCATGGAGGCATCTTGGATGCTTGTATAAGCGTCGTGGACGCCTCGGAGACGAAAAAAATACGTTTTCCCACGGGAAGTGGACGATTTTGCATTTTGTGTCTCTCCTGGAGGAGTCTTGAGAGCCTCTGTCGGGCTCTCTTGGGCTGCCCTGGGGCCCGCCGCAGCGTCTCCGAAGCGCCCGAAAGGCCATCGGTCCCCAGAGCCTCTTCGCACGCCTTGGCCCCGGCATTGTAGGAGAGATGATGTTGGGCTCCAGCTTCACCTCCCACATTTCACCCAGCAGCGCCAGCGCTGGCTGCCACTGCTCGTCCTTCTCGCACGCGCTGATCCCAGCGCTGTAACTGATGACGTTGGGCTCCAGCTTCACCTCCCGCATCTCGCTCAGCAGCGCCAGCGCCCGCTGCCCCTGCCCGCCCTTCTCGCACGCGCTGATCCCAGCGTTGTAGCTAACAGGGCTGACCCGTGGACTGCGTCCACGTGCGGGTTGAAGGGGTGCTGCCGCCGCCGATTCTGGGCCGCCGGCCCGCCGGACGAAGAACCCGAAGCGAGCGCCCGAGGCAGTTCTGGGGGTCCTCGAGAAGGCGCATCTGACGGACCCGGCGACCCGGATGGCCTACAGCATCGTCGACCCGCCACCCTGCTTCTGGGCCACCGCGCCGCCGACCCACGCCCCGAAAATGGCCCCATGCTGGCCCAAGAGGCCCCCGAGAGGGCTGCAAGAGCGAGACACGCAGGGCATGGCCCGAAGAGGCCGCGGAGAGGGCTCCAGACCGACAGAAAGGGGGAGGGATTTTGGCCAAATCTGGCAGGGAGCGCCAAACAAGCATCAGGAAAGCCGAGGAGCCCCAGGGTACGCTTGGAGCCGACTTGTGGCCGTCCTCGGGCCTTCTTGGGCCTTATATGGCTGATGTTGGTGCTGTGCTTCTTGGGCCGTCTTCTCAGCGCTGCTTTTCGGCCTCTCAGCGCGTCTTTTCTGTCTCCTGGGAGCCTCCTGGGACCCTCTTGGGCTGTCTCTAGTGCCTCTTGGGCCCCGTGTGGAGGCCGTCTGGGGCCGTCTGGGGGTTGCCTGGGTCCGTCTTGGGCGTCTCTGGAGCAGTCTGGGCACCGTCTGGGGGTCATCTGAGGCCGTCCTGGGCCGCTCTTGAGGCTGTCTTGGGCACCCCGAGGGCCGCCAGGGGCGCCGCAGGAGCCGTCCTGGGGCCATCTTGGGACCCTGTATGGCCGTCTTGGGCGCTATGAGGAGGGCAAACCCAGAACTGCCAAAATGCGCGTTTTCCCACTAACATGGGAGGATTACTCGGTGTTCGGGCTTTCGCTGGGCTCGTCGTGTAGCCCTCTTGTAGCCGTCTTGGGGCCCTCTCAGGCCGTTTGAGGGCCCCCTTGGGCCGTCGTTGGGCCCTCTTGCACCTTCTTGGGGCCCTCTTGGGGGCCGCTTGGGTCGTCTTGGGGGGTTTTGGGTGGCCTCTTGGCCTGTCCTGGACCGTGTACCAACACAAAAGGCGGCCATGCTGAAAATGTACGTTTTCCCGTGGGAATGTGACGATGTTTGCCTCTTTGGCGTCCTCCCGGGGCCCTCTCGGAGAGTATTTGGGGCCTCTTGGACCGTCTTGGAGCCACCTTCTGAGGTCTTTGGGGCCTCGAGGCCCGTCTCGGGAACAACTGAAGCCGTCTTGGAGCGCTCTTGGACCGTCGTGCAACCCCTCTGGGGCGCCTCTTGGGCCATCGTGGGCGATTCGACCACGTGGTGGGGCCGTGAAGGGGCGAGTTTAGCCACTTGACCGCCTGCCCTTCTGGCACGCCATGTAGGACAGATGACGTCGGGCTCCAGTTGCACCTCCCACATCTCGCTCAGCAGCGCCAGCGCTCGCTGCCACTGTTCGCCCTTCTCGCACGCACTGATCCCAGCATCATAGCTGACTAGGGCTGACCCGTGGACTACGTCCACTTGCGGGGTGAAGGGGTGCTGCCGCAAGGCGAGCAGGATGAATGGCGTCATGGTCGCCGGACACATATCGCTGAGCTGCGGGGGCGCCAGGTAACGCTGCTCGCCCGTCTGGGAGCCCCCAACGAGCCCCCAACGACACCGACGGCGGCGGCGGCGGCGACGACGACGACGACGACGGCGACGACGACGACGACGGCGACGACGAAGACGACGGCGGCGGCGGCGACGACCGCGGGCTGCAAGGCTAGGCTGGCCTGATTCAGGGCCACCGGCCCGCCAGCCCAGTCGGCGGTGCCGATTCATGGGCGCCCCCCGGCCTGCCGTCCCAGAGCCCTTCGCTCCCAGGGCCACGCGCGCCTCCGGAGCCACCCGGCCGAGTTTGGGCCCCCGACCCACCGGCCGACTCTGGGCCGCCACGCCGCCGGCCCAGAATCCCGCCCGGCGCGCCCCGGGGCAGCCGCGCGGGCTTCCGGGGTCGGCCAGGAGGATTCTGGGCCGCAGGCCTGCCAGCCCAGAATCGGCGGGACCAACTTTGGGCCGCCGCGCCACCGGCCAAGAATCCCGCCCAGCGCGCCCTGGGCCAATTCTCGCGCCTCCGGGGCGGGCCTACCCGTTTCTGGGCCACCAACCCGCCAGCACAGAATCGGCGGGACCGATTCTGGGCCACGGCGCCGCCGGCCCAGAATCCCGCCCGGCGCGCCCTGGGCGGCCGCGCGCGCTTCCAGGGCTGGCTGGGGCGATTCTGGGCCAGCCTTCCAGCCCAGAATCGGCGGGCCGATTCTGGGCCGCCGCGCCGCCAACCCTGAACTCCGCCCGGCGCGTCCCGGGAAGGCGCGGGCGCCCTGGGCCACTGGCCCGCCGGCCTAGAATCGGCAAAGTTTTGTGACCGGCCGATGGTGCGCTGGAGCCGATTTTGGACCGTCTTCAGGCCGTCTCAGGCCGTCTTTGGCTGCTGTTGGTGCTGTCTTCGGTGCTTCTTGGGCCATGCATGATCTTGGTGCCTCTGGGGCTCGTTTAGGCGCCTTTCACTGCCTCTTTCCGGCCTCCTGGAAGCCTCCTGGGCCCCTCTTGGGCTGTCTCGGGTGCCTCTTGGGCCGTGTGGAGGCCGTGTGGATGCCGTCTGGAGGCCGTCTGGGGGTTGTCTGGGGCCGTCTTGAGCGTCTCTGGAGCAGTCTGGGCAACGTCTGGAGGTTGTCTGGGGCCGTCCTGGGTCGCTCTTGAGACTGTCTTGGGTACCCCGTCGGCCGCCAGGGGCGCCTCAGGAGCCGTGCTGGGGCCGGTTTGAAGCGTTTGGGGGCCGCTTGGGGCCCTTGGGCCGTCTCTTGGGCCGCCATGGGCGCCTCAAGAGCCGTGGTGGGGCCGTTTTGAAGCGTTCTGGGGGCTCTGGGGGCCCTCTTGGGCCGTCTCGGTTGCCTGTCGGGTGGTTGTCTTGGGGCCGTCTGGGCCCGTCTTGGGCACCTCTTGGGCCGTCCTCGGCGCCTCTTGGTCCGTCCTGGAGTCGTCTTGGGCCGTCTTGGGGCCCTCATAGGGGGTAATTATCTTACGGCGATATGGGGCTTTATGGCCGTCGTGGACGCAGTGGAAACGAAAAGCACGAAAATTTTCAAAATATGCGTTTTCCCTAGGAAATAAAACAATTGTGGCTTCTTGGCGCTCTCCTGGGATGTCCTCCAGGGCCGTCTTTGGAGCCTCCTGGCCTGCCTTGGACGCTTCTGGGGCCGTCGAGGCGGCCTCTTGAGCGGCTCGGAGCCGTCTTTGGGCCGTCGGGGCGGCCTCTTGAGCGTCTCGGAGCCGTCTTGGAGCCGTCTGGGGGCTCTCCGGGGCTCGCAGGGGCCGCCGGGGGCGCCGACTGCGCTTTCCCCGTGGCCCGCCTTTCCCGCACGCGCGGGCCTCTGCATTGTAGTAGAGACTAGTGTGTACCCGTGCTTGCTGCCACTGGCGGCGGGGGTTGCCGAACCACGGGTGGGCTGCGCGACCGCGCGGCCGTTTGGGGCTGTCTTGGGCGCCTCTGGGGCAGCAGCCGTCTTGGGGCCGTCGTGCCAGAGGGCACGAAGAGGGCCCCAAAAGGGCCCCAGGACGCCGCCGGTCGCGGGCCCACCGTTCTGCCACCCGGCCCTGTCTTGGAGGGGCCCGAAGGCCTCAAGAGGACCGCAAGAGCACCCCCAAGGGTCCCTAAGAGGGCCCCAAACCGCATGTATTTGGTACGCGTCTTGGGCTTGCGAGAGGGGCACCCAAGTGCATGCGTCATGGGGCCGTGTTGAGGCCCTGTTGGGGCCCTCTTGGGGCCCTCCTGGCCCCCTCTTGGGGCCCCTCGGAAGCGCTCCCAGCCTGTCCTGGCCCCCTCTTGGGGCCGCCACGGGCGCCTGAAGAGTCATCCTGGCGCAGTCTTGAGGCGTCTTGGGGTCCTCCCGGCAGCCTACTGAGGCGTCTTGGGAAGACATTGAGCGCCCATGTGGCCGCCTTGGACGCGTCGAAGACGAAAAGCACGGAAACTCCCGAAACGTACGTTTTCCCTGGGGATTGGGACGATGTGTCCTTGTCCGGGGGCTCTCTCTCTGGAGCCCACTTGGAGCATTTTGGAGGTCTCTTGGGCCGTCTGGCGGCTATCTTGGGCGTCTTCGAGCGCTCGGTGCCCGTCTCGGAGGCCCTCTTGGACCGTCTTCGGCCGTCTTCGGGCCCTCTTGGGGGCCTCCGGGTGCGGCTCGGAACGCTCTTACGCCATCTTGGAAGCGCGCCGGGGCCCCGGGGCCGCGCTGGTGGCCGCCGGAGGGAGCCAGTCCACGGCCACTGCTCGCCCATTTGGCGAGAGGTGAACGCTGCATTATAACAGAGATGACGTTGGGCTCCAGCTTCGCCTCCCACATCTCGCTCAGCAGCGCCAGCGCCCGCTGCCACTGCCTGCCTTTCTCGCACGCGCTGATCCCAGCGTTGTAGGATAGATAGGGCTGACCAGTGGACTCCGTCCACGAACTC